CCCCTCCTCCCACCCCTCTATCCCTCACCCCTCCCTCCGTCACTTATTCTCCATCCCTCCATCCCACTCATAGTGTGTCTGCCCCTAGGGCAGCCTGGGAAATGGGAATTGAGACTCGGGTGCCCACACCCACAGGGGTCCGGGTGGGCAGAGAGCTCAATCCAGCTCCTTGGGCCCCTCCAGCCCGATTCAGCCTGGGTGTCACTCCAGGCCCCATGTTCCTCCTCCTCTTCCTCAGGGCTGGGTCTCTCAGGAGTGGGGCCTTGGTTCTGAGAATCAGGGCCCTCAGAGATTCCTTCTGTGGAGTCTGGGTCTGTAGTGGGGAGGGTCACAGTCCATGGGCTGGCAGCCCGCCCAGCACCTGCTTGTAAAATTTTCTAATAAAAAGTTTTTCCCCCGAGAAGTGAAAGGAGCATGTGTGTGGGGAGGGCGTCCTTGCTGCTGCCTGTGCCCTGACTTCCCGCTGCGCTGGTGCACAGGCCTGCCCCCGTCTCGAGGGTGGACACCAGCTCTCCCTCCTGCCTTCCGCTCTGGAGCCAGGCCTAGGCCACTGGCTGTTCCCCTGCTGTGCCGTTGGGGCCTAGAGCAGCTGCAGGAGGGCTGGCCCAAGGGAGCGTTCCTGGGTCCTTAAGGCTTCGCTGGCCAGCAGAGTTCCCCAAAACCATCACATCCAGATCTGTGCTGGTGACCTAGCCCAGCCTGGAGGTTGGGTCCTGGTCCAGCAGGCCTGGGGTGAGGTTAGGGACCAGGGGCAGTCAGTGCTGGTAGAGACTGGAGGGAGGGCAGGCCCTCATCAGGAGGTGGCGTAGGGGTGGGAGCTGAGATCAGCACCAGGAGGGACCCAGGGCCCCTCCCACAGAGGCAGGGCTCTTGCACGGAACCTGGCTGTGGAGCCATGTGATGGCATGGGGCACCTTGCCCTTCTCCCCTGGGACTGAGTGTCCTGCACTCCCAGGAAGCATCCCGCAGCTCCTCCCCAAGCCAGTTTTCTCCAGGACAGGAAGCCCTGGTCTTGCCCGCTCGCCCCTCCCCTTTCTGGGAAGTGAGCTCAGACACTGCCTTTGCCTGCTCAGTGCTCTCGTGGGGAGGGTGGCAGTTCTTATTCTGCTTCCCCCTCCCCCGACACCATTTTTTTTTTTTTTTTGAGTCATTTGATAAACCTGAGGGCAGCCAGCCCCAGCTTTGGAGTTCTGAGACGGGAAGGACCAAGGGGACACCCCAAGTTGGAGGGCTTGCTCTTGTTCTCGGAATGAGTGAGTCAAGGGAGTTTTCCAGTGGGATGGGGTGGGCGTGTTCTTGGGAGGCAACAGCTGAGGTTGAAGGGGGGCATCAGAGATGCCCGTTGTCAGCCGGGCACAGTGGCTCAGGTCTGTAATCCCAGCAGTTTGGGAGGCTGAAGTAGGTGGATCACCCGAGGCCAGGAGTTCGAGACTTGCTGAGCCAATGTGGTGAAACCCTGTCTCTAACAAAAATTAGTTGGGCGTGGTGGTGTGTGCTTCCTAATCCCAGCTATTCGGGAGGCTGAGGCACAAGAATTACTTGAACCCGGGAGGCGGAGGTTGCAGTGAGCCAAAATAGGACCACTGCACTCCAGCCTGGGCGACAGAGACGCCGTCTCAAAAAAAAAAAAAGATGCTCGTTGTCCTGGGGGAGCGAAAAGATTGTCACCTGGGGAGCAGGAACACCTTGGACAGCTCCCAGCTCCGGTCCTCAGGGGCTCCGGGTCACTCTTGCCCCCTGGTGGCCTCGCTGAGCGCGGCCGCTGGGGCTCCCGCCAGAGCAGCAGTTGGGGCCGGGGCCGTTCTGCGTTCCTGCATTCGCTTTTCCCCGCGAGTGGGGGTGTCCCTGCCTCTGTGGGCACACTTGTGCCTCCCTGCGCGCCTGCTCAGCTCGTGCGCACCTGTCTGCGTGCGCCCGGCGCTCCCGTGTCCCTGTGCGCTCCCAAGGCTGAACCGACGCGGGTCCTTTGCCCCTTCGCGGGGGCAGGTGAGGGGCCCGGAGTCCTGCAGGAAAGAGGCCGGAAGGGAGCGCCTCCCGGGAAGCCCACCCGCGGCCCAAACCCAGCCGGACTTCTGCGAGCGGCACCGGCTGCGGAGCCCGCAGGTGCCCAGACGCCCCGCGGCCGGGAGACGTCCGGAGAGGCCGGCAGAGGGGACCAGAGCCGAGTGGGGGAGGGGGCGCCGCCCGGAGCCTCCCGCCCCCGCAGGTGGAGCGCGCAGGCGCAGTCCCCGCGTGCGCGCGCCCCGCCGGCGCCTCCATCCCGGATCCGCGCTGCAGCGTCAGCGCCGCCGCCCGTTCCTTTCCTCTTCCTCCTCCTTGGCCTCGGCCTCCGCCTCCTCTTCCTCCTCCGTGCGCCCCCCCAGCCTCCGCTGCTCCCGACGCGGAGCCCGGAGCCCGCGCCGAGCCCCCGGCCCCGCGGTGCCATGCTGCCCCGGCGGCGGCGCTGAACGATGGCGACGCCGCTGCCTCCGCCCTCCCCGCGGCACCTGCGGCTGCTGCGGCTGCTGCTCACCGGCCTCATCCTCGGCGCGGTCCTGCGCGGGGCCGCCGCCGGCCACCCGGGTGAGCGAGCGCGCTGGGCGCAGGCCGCGGGGCGCCCCGGGGCCGGGATCTCGGGGCGGGGACCGCGCTGCCAGGCGCCGCCGCCCTCTCCTGCCCAGGCCCGCAGGCCCTGCAGGCCCGGTCCTCTGCTGACGGCGGCCCCGTGTCGCTCGCGTTGGGATTAGCAGGCCCGGCCGGGGGACGCAGCGCGGATGGGGCTTCTGCCGGTTCTCGGAGGCGAAGCTGAAGTTCGCGGCTTCTTCCGCTGGGAGCCGGTCTGGCTTAGGCCTCGGCGCCGTGGCCATCTGGCCCTGGGCGGGCCCGCCGGGAGTCTGTCCTGCGTGGTCTGTGTGTGTGTCTCCGGGTTCGGGGCTCCCGCGGCTGCGGGGCTGGCCCTGAGTGCCCGCCGGCCTCGCTGCCCGTGTGCGTCCCGGGGTCGGGGCGTCCGTGCTGATCTGCCTGTCCTCACGCCTCAGGTGGCGCTGGACACCGGCCTTGTACGCCATGGTGGGCGCTGGTGTTCCAGGGGCACTTGATGGCGTAGGCTCGGGGTGCTGTTCTAGCTTCAATGGGGGAGGCTGTGGCCGTCTCAGAACCTCCTCCTGCACCCCCTGCCCTTGAGGGCACTGGCATTCTGCCTTTGGGACTGAGGCCTGCAGGGGAACTCCGAAGGAGGGTGATAAGCCCAGGGTCGTGGGACACCCTCCCCGGCTGCACAGATGGGCCCGGAGGCTCCCGGGAGCAGAGGTCTGCGGGAACCCAGGATGCAAAGCTCGCTTTTTTCTGGGGGGGCTGAACTGGGAGACTTTGTGACTGTGCATTCGTGCAATCCTGGCAGCCCTGCAGAAGAGGTGCTGAGTCCGCTTTACAGTTAAGGAAACTGAGGCACGGAGACGTTAGGTGGAATGTGGCCCAGCTGATGCTACCCAGCGCAGTCTGCTTGTGTGTGTGTGTGTGGCCCCGCGGGGCCGGCTTCCTCCTGGGCACAGTGCCTCTGCGTGGGAGGTGGGCATGACCAGAAGGGGCTTCCGAGAGTCAGAGCCTGCTCAGCCAGGAAAGGTGGAAGCCACCTCAGGAACTGGGGCTGTAGCTGCTGTGCTGAGCCCAGGTGGGCAGCAGGTTCCAGGCCTCAGTTCACCAGTCTCTGCGGCTTCTTGCCTGCCTCACTGGGAGACCTGGCAAGGCCCTCCCCAGGGAGCCCCTCCCACTCCCAGTGCCGCGTGCTTGGAAGGGAGGGGCCCTCAGGCAGCCCAGACGTTAGGTGAGGTGTCAGCCACTCTCCAGCTGCTGCTGTTCCTGGGACCTCCTCTCAGGAGAAGGAAGTGGTGGATGGAGGCTCCTGGGCTGGGGAATCAGGGGCTGGGAAGGGCCCTAGAGCTGGCTTTGCACCTCAGGCTCCGGGCTTTGGCATGGCGCACTGTGCGTTATCAGCACAGGGAGAGGGACCGCCTCGCTCCCCAGGTGCCAAGTGTGTGGGTGGGCCCCGGGTGGACCTGCTGGCACAGGCTCAATGTTTAACATGCCCAAGTCCGGGCACAGCCCACTGATACCGGAGGCTGCTGCTCCAGGTCGTGGGGGGTGGGCGGTGCCTGTGGGGCCCACCTGCCACTGGGGCTGCCGAGGCTGCTGGAACTGCCTGGAAGGGAGGCCGACAGCCTGAAGGTACTGAGTGTCGGGTTACCAAGGAAACCAAGCCAGCCAGCCAAGGTCTGGAGAAGGACAGATGCCCCCTGCGGCGCCGGGCCCCGGTAGTCCTCCCTGCAGTGTGCAGTGTGGGGCTGGGCCGGGGAAGGGTCCTGGCTAGCCAGAGGGCCCACTGCAGGCTCCCCAGGCAGGGTCGATGGCCCTGCTGGGGTTCCCCCGGGTCCACTGGCTCACTGTGACTGGTGACATTCCTTACCTTTGAGGCAACTCCGCTTCTGCATCCCAGAGGGGAAACTGAGGCAGAGAGGGCCACTGCCCCCCTGCCCTGTTCTCCAGCACCAGGATAGGACTGATTAGCCACATGTGTAAGCTGGCACCGTGGCCTGGGCCCCTCCTCAGTGAGAGGAGAGAATGGGTAGGAACTGGAGAGCTAGAGCCTGGCCTGCAGTCCCCAGCCCTGCCTATCCGGCCTCCTCAGGCCCTTGGGGGCCTCTGGCCCCTGACTGCAGCCCCTGTTGGTGTGGCTGTGGGAGTGACCTGCCTGCGTTCTGCGTCTGAGGCAAGCGAGGCCACAGACCCCATCCTAGCTCTCCGCCATGCTTGGGGGACAAGCCAGAGGCTGGAGGAGCAGCCATGCTTCCAGGCTGCACGCTTGTTCAGTGCTGGTTCAGGAGAGAGTGGCACAGCGGGGAGAGGCCGCCGGCCGGCACCGGTCGCCCTCCTCGGAGACAGACCTCGGCCCCTCCCTCTGGGACTCCCGATCTGGACCAGGGTTCCTGGCTGGCTGTGGGGCATGTTGAGGCCGGAGGTTGGGCTTGGGGGCCGCATGGCACAGCACTGCCTGGATGGTGATGCTCAGCTTCCGAGCTGGGGGCTCTATCAGGCCTGAACATGGACCCTGGGGAGTGGGTGGGGCAGGGTAGTTCCGATAAGTCCTAGGACTGTTTGCTTCCTGGTTCTGAGCCCTGGCGGTGGGGAGGAAAGGCCTGTCCAGAACAATTGCCAGAGTCAGGCCTGGCCAGCTCTGGGGGGTGGGGGC